AGTTAAAGTACTAGGAAAAGCGCGTGTGTAAATATAATGTTTGTTGGTTCAGTTCAGGTAATCAGTCGACTAGATGGCCAAAGTAAGTTCCAGTTGTTTACACTATTTTCCGGCCCCCATATTGGTGGACCACGGAGGTCCAACAACGTGGCGGCTCCATACTGGGGTCTGTAAATTTGCGCAAAATACTTCGACGAATATCTGAAGTTTGGGAAAACGTAGAGACCTAAAACTTAGAGATATGTGTTCTTTACTTATCTCTTATAACATTGCAATTTCTTGACTTAAGCCACTCATCAAGGGAAGATGCATTATTGGTACAAAAATTCATCTCATCAATCCTGATAAAAACAACACAGAGGTTTCTAAAGACGTGTCAGCAAATACTTCCGCTTTTATTTTTTCATATTCAAAAAAATAAAGCACTTTTTGACAGCAATAAATGCAACGGTATAAAAATCGAGTTTTATTATGGAGTTGTATTTTAACTCCCAAGTCTTATCAGGGAAAAAAAAATATCAAGAGTTGATGTGCTCTCACTTTAATGGCTTGTATTCTCACGTTTACTATGACAGATGATCAGAGCTATACTTCAAAAGGGGAAATATTTTATGATATTATAGCAATACAAAATTCGAAGAACATTACATTTTTATACAATCATCACATTAACTTTAAAGCTGGTTTACTAGCATTCGTTTCTCTTTCATGTTTAGCAGAAAATAGCGTTATTTATTGAACAGTATATCCCACGTATGGCCTTCTGCTTGGCCGTCGCGCCATATTCCACATTCGCTGATAAGGCGGAATAATTCCAAAAAGTCACCTAACCGCACTTACCAGCGAAACTGCTCTTTCTTTAAGCACTTATCACTCAAACGTCAATTGAGACATTATAGAGAATTTTTTTGCTATTTGGGAAGATACGCGTGGTAGTTTTAGCGCAATTTGATGAGGTTTGCTCCTCCATTGTCCGTGACAAGCTATTCTTCATTCGGTATAAAGTCTTTATTTTTCTTTTTTTAACCACCTTTTGCAATTATAAATTGACTAAACATTGCTTAGTATTAATGAGTTTTTATTTTATCCTTTCGAAATGCATCTTTAAGATGTGAGTTAATGAAGTTCTTTTAGAATCAGGGCAATTTCCATGCATTCTTGATAATGTTAGGATAAGAAAAGCAATTCATGATTGTTCTTTAAAAGTTGAGGACAGTGGGACTGACATGAATTCATAAAATCGTCATGCTTGAGTCCCCTAGACTAAGCAATACAGTCAGATATGTTTTTTCATTATATCTTTAGTTGGACTGTAATAATTTCAAGAAGAATCTTATTCCTTCCATACAAAGAAATGGAAACTGAAGATTTTCAAACTACTAAAGACGCTGCCTGATTTTCAGTCCTAATCTCCGAGTTTCTTGTAGCATCGATTATCAATGCCATCAAAATTATCGCCTTTGCAAGAATAAGCCATCTTCGCA